CCTTGAACAAAAAGTCTCTACACCCAACAGCACGATTACACCAAGAAAGCCCTGCTTTCAGCTGAAATGTCAGCATGCTGGTAGCAAAAGCAAAAACTATATTTTGATTCTTTATTGCTCAATGGAAATGTTACTTGAATCTCAGACATTTTTAAAGGCTTTACCAATACCTCCAAGGACCTGCCTGTCTGTGACTTCATTTCGTATCTCTCTCCTGACCCCACCCCACTCACCGTGCACCAGTTACTCTGCTCTTTTTTCGAAACCCTGAACTCACAAGCTTCTCTCCAACTCAAGGCCTTCGTAGCAGCTGTTTCCCTTTCCAGGGACAATCGTCCCAGATCTCTCCAGGGCAGGCTCCTTCAGCTCATGTGTCGACTCATCCATTAGAGAGGTCTTTGCTGACCACCCCGTCAAAGTAATCCTACCCCAAAAGCAATTACTTTCTATCATCATCCTATTGTATTTTATTTAGTCATGTTTTTTCAATCACTGCTGTGTAACTTTCACTGGGAATAGGAACTGTGTCTCATATTCAATACTTTATTTCCAGCACCCAGAATTGTGCCTGCCATATGGTAGGTCCACAATAAATATTTTTTGAAGGAATGTAAGTGTTCTTTCATTTATCCTAAATGACATCTGTGCTGAATTTCCAGAGACAACTCCAACAATCTGACTGTCAAAATTCATTGATGAAAAGGGTCTTTGATACCTACATGCTCTTTTTCCAAGTCAACCAGTCGGCCACAGCACTGAAGCACGTGTTTGCCTCCTTGAGACTGTTCGTATGCAAGGTAAGGACCCTCCCATTTCCACTGAAAGCTCCAGTGGGGACGACATCAGACATGTAGTAATCCTTGCCTTGTATCTCTCAGTATGGAGAGAAGAAGGTTTGCTTTCTTTAAGTTTGGTTTTATTAGACATTGATTCCTGGTCTCAAAATGAGCTTACAGCCTTGACTGTCTGCTTAGATACCCAAAGGGAGTAAAATTAGCATCTAGTCACCAATTCTTTGAGTTCTCAGTGTTCATGGCCTAGAGTTAGGTAAAATGCACAACCTGCCACTGCCATAGGCACCCGTGCCAAGTTAAACATGCCACATTACAGTGGGTACAGCCACCATCTGCGAGAACACCTGTCAGTAACACTTGTGATGCTAACAAGGTCAGGTGAATTGAGCACACTTCGGAGCTCTAGTGATTTTGGGTCGTCATCAATTATTGATACAAGGGATACTTACAATGTAGTGAATAATTATTTCTAAGAAGAAAAGAGAAATACTAATATAGACTTTAATAAATAAAATTATATGCTCCTCACTTGCAAATGGGAAAAAAAGACTAGGCTAACAAAAAAGAAGAAGATGGATTCCATTCTAGGGAATTTTAAAATGTGAGAATGGTCAGAGCGAAATGAAGGAATGTGGCTCATTTCACCTGTTCTTGCATTGCTGCAGTTTCCCTCAGCGTTCTTCCAGGGGCCTGCCGACCTCTGTGGCTCCTTCTGCTACGAAGTCCTAAAATGCTGTAACCACAGGTCACGGTCAACTCAGACAGAGGCCTCGGCACTTCTGTACTTTTTCATGAGGAAGAATTTTGAATTTAACAAGCAGAAGTCAATTGTCCGGTCACACTTACAAGTAAGTGCTGCCACTTTTCACTCACGCCGTTGTTAAAACCACTGATCTGTTTCGGCAGCGATTAAAGCCAGCTGTCCCCAGGGCAGCCAGTTACCAAGTCCTCCGCCACGTTCCTCCGTCCAGATGCCCCTCACGCTCAGTGCTGGTGTGTAATAGGGGCACAGCGGGGCCGGAATCAGCACGGCCCAGTTTCCACTTACACCTTCCTTTCTTCTGCCAGGGACTAGAACAGCTAACTCGGGAAAACACGGCTACCTCTAGGAGGCCAAACCCCCCAAATTCCAAACGCATAAGTCTCTTTCTTCATGGCATCCCAAGATTCCAAGATTCCTGCAGCTTTTCTTAGGTATTTAAGATTATAGGAAACATCCTAAATTACATGGCCTCTGAAGATTTAATACATAACAATGTCATTGATTGGACCTACAGGGAGATATTTATGATACATTCCTACAATCCAGTGGATTTCTTTAAAAATACCATTTCTTATTTTGCTTTTGGGGGTTCATTTTTCTTTTCTCTTCCAGCTCATCAAGGCTGTAAGCCAGTTAATAGCCGATGCTGGGATTGGAGGCCCTCGGTTCCAACATTCCCTCGCAATCACCAATAATTTTGCCAATGGAGACAAGCAGATGAAAGTAAGAAATGCTTTGTGGGCTTTTTCTGAAGAATTAGGAATGAACTGAAGTGGAACTGAAGTCTTTTTGTGAGATATAAAAATCGTAAAAAATATATAAATTCTGTATTTTGATGCGACTTTGAGCACTGATATTGAGTCTGCTTGTTTGAATTTAAATCCTCTCTTACACTTTCAGCATATGATCTATTGAGAGGAATTTTCAAGATGTGGCTGAATGGTGTATAACAAGAAGATTTACCATAAATATCCAGATACACAGTGATTCACTCATAACCCCATTTTGGGGAAAATCTATCCATCTTTCTTTTAGCACTTTCTGAGGACTTCTCCTTTAAGCATTATACTGAAAAGTCCAAG